TACTGGGGCAGAAGGAATTTCCAAATTTCTATCGCAAAATGCGTGATTGCAGAGGAGGTGTGGCCGGAACAGGAGCTAGACGCAGCGACACGGAACCAGACATGTCAGGGGAACTGGGCCAGCTGGATGACAGACAGCTGGGCAAGCTTAATCCTGCTAAGGGAAGAGAGGGGAGGCAAAGGAAGGCAGCAGTGAATATGGGGATCACCGAAAAGGAGCTCTCCGGAATAGAGGGTGCAGGGGGAACCAGGAGGAGCAATGGCGCTGACGGGAATGGCCCCGAAGCCCACAGAGCGGACAGCAGCTGCTTCTTCTCCAGTCTTCTCTGGAAGGACTCTACCAGGCCAGTTCTGTCTTGTTACCTGATCCAGAGGACAGCCCCAAGGGCTTGCTGGCCAGCCAGTCTAGCCAATCCGTGGGATACAGGTTCAATGTAAGAGTCTGCCTCAATAAATAAGATGGATACCAACAAAGAAGGCACTCCATGCTAACCTTTGGCCTAGATATGCACAGGCACAGAGCAGCATACCCACACCACATACCCACACGCATGCGTGTATCATACACGTGAACACACGTACTCCTCACAATAATGCAACAATAAACAGTCTATTTGTTTTTACCTTTCGTGAAACCTGTAACATTTTTCACATAACTTGTACAGACTATAGCATAAAACAAATCTTCTTGAATGTGGTTTTGCCATTTACTCAGCATCCCCGCTGTCTTCACTTTTTATATAGTATTTTCTTTCTTTTTTTTTGTTGCTTCCAAGTATTGGTTCTTTATGTTTTACTCCCCAGTTCAGGCAGGGCAGGGAGGTACAGCATGCAAAAAAAAAATTCATGGCTGAGCTGGCCAGGCCTCTTTTGGAAAGCGTGTGCATCGGAGAGACTCAGCGACCTGTGACACCAGCAGATTACGATGCCAACGCAGAGGGCAGTCCTCCCTGTTTGTGTTTTCTCACTATGCTTCACATAGAAGATCTGACAGGAGGGGCACAAATAATACACTCCTCATTTAAAAATTTTATAATGTGAATGCCAGTGAGCTTCAGACAGATTCTGGCATGATGGAACTTGAGCAACCATTGTTCAGGTCAAATGGAGACATCCATGTACTAGACAGTGGAGAAGACCCTAATTTGGGGTCGAGGGCATGTTTGTGTTTTCTTGCAGGAAAAGAATAAAGCTTCGGCAGCTGTCAGACCATTTAGTGAGATGCATGGAGCAGAGAATAACTGGACCTGAGACCATGGGAGTCTACCTAAGCCAGATCTCCTAAATCAGTGTTCCTGACCCTTGATGTCATCAAATCTAGAGTCCAAGAAAGAAAGAAAACAGTCGGTCCGAGATTTCCAGTTTCTCAACAGACCTGCTGCATCAACCTTCTGGACCCATGAGTTTTCATCGTGAAGCCAACAGAGAAAAAAGGACCCATTTAAAACATTTGGACATTGGTATGGACTGTGATGAGTGGCAAAAGCCTCTTTTCAGTAATTGAACAGGACATGGTCACTTGAAATATCAGACTTGGTGGTTCCTGTTTCTGGAATCGCGCCTAGGCCAGTGTATTTTTCTGGAGAAATGCAACTTGTCCTAATGCAACAAAAAGGAGACTTTGACTCAAGTCACATAATCAGCTGACGTTAAATCAACAAACTGCATCACCACAGGAACAAATTGGTGCTCTGTGGATAGTGCAACAAGCCTACTGTTCATATTTTTCATAATGCTACATGTGTAACATCAATGATTGTACCTAATGTATCTGTGCAAGTGCACTTTCTAAATGCTTTCCTGAGCAGATCTTGGAACGATTGTAAACTTTATCAAATTGTAAATGTAAATCACATGTGGGTTACCCTTGTAACAGAATGTAAATCACGTACAGGTTACCCTTGTAACAGATGAAGGCTGGTAGAATGTTATGGCCCAGATCTGGTGATGGGTACGGTGATGGAGAGGCACTATGTCAATGGGGGTCCTGGAAATGGTGGCAGTGGCGGTAGGCATTCTGGCTTTATGCCGAGCTCAAACGTGCCTTGTTCCAGAGGCAAGAGATCCGTAACCAAGTATGGCTTAGCTTATCCCATGGCAATCCCGATAGCCATGAAGGTTGGTTACAGATGATTTAAGGTTGCGGTGTCTCTGACGACGGGCAACCTGTGGGGAAGACCCCTCCCACCTAAGACAGGGGTTCAAGGCCCCCGAAGACGGGCAAGGGAGGGTGACCTACTTGACTTAAGCCAGGAGTGCCTCATTTGAAAATAAAAAGGGGTGAATTGTGGGAACACCAGACCTTGAGCAGAGACCCAATTCCCCATGGCCTGGGAGTAGGCAGCTGTAAGACAATGTTTACTAAAAACATGTTTACTAAAAACTATGCAATGCCCGGGGCAATAAGTTCCTGGAAAAAGCCTGCCCACAGAAACCGCCCTGACCTCGACCTTGTCCAAAGACTAACCGCACCTTCAGACCCACCCACATCCACCTCTGGTGTCAGAGCAGAACCAGCCAGGGTAGAGGAGAGAGCAGAAGCTTCTCTGGAGGGAGCCTTTCTTAGGAAGTTTTCTTGAGCCTTTTTGGGGCCTGCTTAAAGTTTTCTTTACATCGTTGAACAAGTGTCTGTGTTGTCAATCCCTGACACCCTCCGCACGTTCTCGGACACAGGCCGAACAGCAGACATGACAGGGCACAGAGATCAGCTGGGAAAGCGGGTTCATAAAACTTGGAGACACAGAGGTAATTCTTGGCAGCTCATTTTGTGACTTCTGGTTTGGGATTCACACTGGGGTCAGTGGAGGGAGCGCTGGTCTGAGAGTGCGTTAGGCTCCGTTGAGCTAAACTGCATCCAGGGATAGGCGCAGACCCGGCTTCCCCAGCCTGGGTTGTTTGCTCATAACTCAGAAGCTGAGAAAAGGTGACCTGGGGATTAAGTTCCCGAGGAGGGAAACTTCAAGTTTGCAGACTAAACAACTTTTCAGGGTTCTGAAAGTTGATTACCCTCCAGAGAGAAGGGCAAAAGTTCTGTTGAGCTTTCCTTTGCCAGCATCCCCAGGGAACCTTTGAACTTTTAGAAATTGTTCCTTAGAGGATAGCTAACTATCCTTGGGGGCAGGAGAGAGAGAAGGAAGAAGAGAATATGAGAAAAGAAGACAAATGAACGTTCCTCACATACCGCTATCGTTTCTGGATGTTTCCCTACGCTTTTCTGGGTGGGCAGTGTGGACAGTGGAAAGCAGCTGTAGGTCTGGACTAACTGGGAGCTTGCCCGCCTGGGTGATCCCTGCAGAGGCGATGGCCTTCCTGGTTGAGGTGTCTTCCAGGGCTTCCTGCCTATGAGCTACAGAACGGTAAAGCACCATCAGGGAAAATGCTCAGCTCATTGTCTTCTAAGGACGCAGACACACTGAAAAGAGACTGGGAAGGGCTGAGCCGGGAGTCACATCTTCCTCCTTAGCAGAGAGCACACCCACCCGGCTCTATACGGGGCTGGCACAAAGCTCTGCCTTGCTCCCAAACCCTGCCTCTCTCTCTTCTCCCGTTCTTCCTCTGTCTGCCTGCTGTTCTGTAGATCCCTGGGACTGGCAGATCTGCAAATCACTCTGTACTCTGTTCAGTCCCCATGTCCCTACCTCTATTCATTGGCACACTCATTAAAAAAAAGTCACTGAGTACATCTGTCATGAAACTGTTTGGGTGGGGGAAGCTCTGGCTAGTACTAGAAAGAGAAAGATGAAACTGCAGAGGTATTCATTAAATGTGGGCTTTGAAGCAAGCAAAAGGATGACTTGAGACGTGTCCAGCCCAGCGGAGGGGTAGAGAGCATGAGGTCTCTCTATATGGAAGGTAGGGAGGAGGAGACATCTGTGCAGGGACCTGGCTGAGGGGAGAGGAGGAACCCACGATGACCCACCGGTGTTTTCTGGTGCTTTCCCTCCTCCCAGGACTGTGGAGGAAACGGAGGGTCACAGTTGAGTCGATGTGGCGTTCCCCCAAGCTGCTTGGTGGGGCCGAGACCACGGCAGGCTGGATATAGGAGCACAGTGGCCATTTGAGGTCCTGTCTCCCACGGAAAGCAGAACTTGAGACCCAGGGGATGTAGCAGATGCTGTGTTCTCTCCACAGTTATTTTCTTGCCTTCTGGTCCAGGTGGACACTTCGCAGGACAGATGGAAACTGAAGATTGAAGTCTGAGCCCCGTCACTCCTTCTGGACCCTTCCTTGCTTGTTTGTAGGAGACACACATTCACTGAGGTAAGAGGCGAGGAGACCTTTCATCATAACAACAACAAAACATGTGGGAGACGGTAAGCTACCTTGGGAAGCAAGTCCCAGAGTCGGGGGAAGATGCGGTACTGTAGTCCAGAAGAGGCCATGTCTCCCGACGGTACCCCGTGTGGACTCCACTTCCCTGCCACACTCTATAATTGATGCACGTGGAAAGGTGAGAGCTTTCCAACGAACGTGACACAAACGGAGCCTGGTGCTTGGTGGACGGGAAGGGTACAGGGGATCCCATCTCTGCGGGACTGGCCAGGAGTACTTAGGATCATGAAATGCAGTAGGAGTTTTTAAGATGGGGGACACACGATTGCTGGAGAAGAGGTGTTATAAATCAGCAGACTGGGGTCAGGGGAGCAGCGGGATGGTTGATCACGGCAGAGTGTAGAGGATTTCTAGCTCAGTGAGAGGCAAAAGGTCCATGCTATACCGGGTGAACGTCCCTGTTTATGGTGTATATGGTGTGGTACTGATGGCTAGCACTCACCCATGTGAACTTACTTGCAGATACATGAATTCATACATATGCTACCCCTTTAAAAAATCTAACAACAACTTTGGATAGAAATAGTAGCCCTGTTGTGGAGTTAAGAAACACAAGGGAAATGTTCCTTGAACCTGACAATGTCTTCAACGCTCCTGAGGTGAGAAGCATTGTCCTTTTGTCTCTCTATTGCTCTCTAGATTTCACAAGGAACAAGGACTCAGAACTCAATGTTGGGGAATCACACTAGTGCCACTGAATTTTATCTCGTTGGTTTCCCTGGCTCTGAGAAACTACGCCGTGCCCTTTTCTCTACCTTCTGCTTCTTCTACTTAGTGTCTCTAGTGGGGAACGCAGTCATCATTGTAATCGTCTGTGTCGATAAACGTCTGCAGTCCCCCATGTATTTCTTCCTTGTTCACCTCTCCATCCTGGAGATCCTGCTCACAACCGTTATTGTTCCTGTGATGCTTTGGGGGTTGCTGCTCCCTGGGATGCAGGCAGTATCTCTGGCTGGATGTGTTGCACAACTCTTTCTGCAACTTGCCCTGGGGACCACGGAGTTTTCATTGCTTGGAGTGATGGCTGTGGATCGTTACGTGGCTGTCTGCAACCCTCTGAGGTACAATGTCATCATGAACAGTCAAACCTGCAACTCTGCGGTAATTGTGTCTTGGGTGTTTGGGTTCCTTTATCAAATCTGGCCAGTTTACGCCACATTTCACCTCACCTACTGCAAATCAAATGTGGTGGACAATTTCTTCTGCGACCGTGGGCAGTTGCTCAAATTGTCCTGCGATAACACTATTTTTATAGAGTTTATCCTCTTTTTAATGGCCATTTTCGTTCTTTTTGGTTCTCTGATCCCTACAATTGTCTCCTACACCTATATCATCTCCACCATCCTCAAGATTCCCTCAGCCTCTGGCCAGAGGAAAGCGTTTTCTACATGCGCCTCCCACTTCACCTTCGTTGTGATTGGCTATGGCTGCTGCTTGTTCCTGTACGTGAAGCCCAAGCAGACGCAGGCAGCCGATTACAACAGGACAGTTTCCTTGATGATTTCCATCGTAACTCCCTTCCTCAACCCGTTCATCTTCACACTCCGTAACGACAAAGTCTTAGAAGCCCTTCGAGATGGAGTGAAACGCTGCTACCAGCTATTCAAGAGCTAGCCCTAGACGTTTACATCACCAAACACATACCAAGATCGCTAGGACAATATGAGAAGACCATCTCTGAGCTGCATCATAATCACGATCGTTATCAAACACCTGGGTTCAGAGACTTTTGAGTTGTGACTATATTTTTTGGTCATGCTCTTTTCCTCTCAGATCCTACCTCCTTCCCTATCCATCCAACTTCATGTTCCTTTTCTCTCTTTAAAAAAAAAAACAAATTCCCAAATTAAAAATTCTTTAAAAGCCACTGAGTCGTATTTGTGTTGATCATCTACTCCTGAGGATGGGACCTGCTGTGAAGTATGGCTGATACACCAAGTGTCACTCCATTGAAGAAAATCAATTTTCCCTCTCCCAGAAGCTATCAGTTGCAAATAGCTTCCCTGGTAGGACTGGGAGTTTGTGTTCACTTCCCATTCGTTGTGCTGGGATTTTTTTTTCTGGCTTGAACTTGTATAGGTCTTATGCATACTGTCACAGTCCATGAGAATTCATGGGTGTATCTGCCTTGCTTTTGATGGGACATTTTAAAACCGCTGTCACTGAATGCAAGGGGGCACAGTAAAGAAACTGTTAAGATGGCTGCTTCATTATTAGGAGGATTTTTTTATTATAAATAAGAGAGAGAAAAATATTCAGAGGCATTTTGCAGGATCCAGAACTGTGGTGATATATTCTTTATGATTTATTAAAGCTTGCGTGAGGATTCAGAAAAGCAAAGCCAGCCTCAAGTTATAGAGATCAGGCAGTGGTGGCTTACACCTTTAATCCCGGCAGCCAGAAGCTAGGAGGTGGTGACATACACCTTAATCCTAGGACTCAGGAATAAGAGGCAGACCGATCTCTGTGAGTCCAATGCCACCCAGATCTACACAAGATTGATCCAGTACTAAATAGAAACAGCTCACGTGAAGATGATCTCAGCACCTGGGACCACACGCCTTTAACCCCAGCACTAGAGGGGTATAAGAGATAGGAGCAGGGTCTTCAGTGGTCAGTATCAGGCATTCATTCTCCAGCCACACTGAAGATAGGAGGATTCATTGTTCAGCTACATTGAGGATAGGAAGCCATTGAAGTCTCAGGATTCTCCAGCTACTTGGTGAAAAGGATTCGGTCTGGGGTTTGGTGGAGCCAGGATCACATTTCAGTGTGAGGTAGAGTAAGAGCTGGTGTCCAGCTGCTTTGCTTTTCTGATCTTCAGCTTGAAGCTTGAACCCCAATATCAGTCTTTTATTTATCATGCAACACAGAGCAGAGAGAATGGCAGAGATGACAAGAGACCAAGGCTAGAGCATAACAAGAGAGAGAAGAGTGGAGAAGGCAAGGGAGTAAGCAGATAGCCTGAAATAGAGAGAATTTTGGGGGTGAACAAACTATGCGGGTTTTGAAGAGGACGAGTAACTCAGGCGAGGGAAGGGCCAGGAGACTAGCGTGGGCTCTGAAGTGCAATTACTTGTGAATAGATACTGAGGGAGCATGGAGGTCAGCATGGGCTCTGTAAGCAACCACAGGTAGCCATATGCCCCTTCTGCAAAAGGTAGAAGGAAATGACTCCTTTTGGCAGATGGGAATTAGTTTGACAAGTCCCCGAGGAATGCTGGCTTTTGTCTAACACCAGAAATCCTCCCATAATCCAGCCTGAGCTCATTCCTAGACATATGGACTACCTGAGACCTAGCAATCGCCTCTCTAATTGGAAAACTTCCTTGTGGTGTTAGAAGGAGACCTGGGTAAGGAAGTATTCTCTTACGTTATCACCCAGATCTTACTGCCGCCCCAGAGGAGCTGTGTTCTGCGGTCTCGTATGCGAAGGGACCCGGGCTTTCCATGGCCGTGGATGAGGGGCGTGGTGCGCAGAACGGAGTAAGAGGCATCCCTGGTTCCTCTCTGGGATTCTCAGTCGTTCCCAGGTCTAGGATGCCTCCTCTGCTTTCGTCCTTTTCATTTGTTCATCCTTTCCCGCGGCCCTTCCCCAGCATCCCCACGTTCCTCTTGTGGCTGTTCCAGTCTTACCGCGTACTTCTAAGTCCCCATTTTCCCTCCCTGCAAACCAAAGGCGCAAAGTTTTCCACGTGGGTGTCCACTTTTCTCCAGTTAAGTGTTGCTCTCACTCTCTGTTTCCCAACTTCCCTCTTTCCTGTCACTCCACCCTGTCCCTAATCATTGTTTCCACGTTTTGTTTTTTCTGGCAGGGCGTGGCCATGGCTACTTTGTGAAGTAACCCAGTGCAGCATTTTAAAAGCGTACACATCGATGCTGTGGGGCATAGCCATAGGGAGCTAGCTAGACGGCATTTCTTCCACATCCAGTGGAATTTTGTGAAGCTGCCAGAAGAATGACATTCTTCCTGAAATGATGAGAAAAGTTATAAGCTACGCATTCTTCAGTGAAAAAAAAAACCACCAGAGGATATTGGATGTAAGTGGCTGTATGTTCACAGTTGCTGTGGATGGCATCATAAGGAAGTGGTAGCTAACTGTCCTGAAATTACGACAGCGCGGTGGACACGAAGGAAGGGAAGACTTGGCACTGTTCACCTTTTACTGCTCCTTTAATTTCCGCAAACGTATACTAATTTACTACACAAAAATAAAACAATTGGACCTCTCTTGTTTGTCTTAAAGGATGCACTAAGTCACACTTCTACCCTTAATATTTACCACAGACCCGAGATCTTCTTCACCACACACATATTTCCCCAAATAAGGACAGAGTTGGTTAAGCAGTCCTGATGTTAAGTCATGATGCTTTGGCGCTGTTTTGGATGCTTACCTGTAACGTTAGCACTCAAGAGGCACTGTAGCTATGCTGGGTTACACAGTGATTTCTAGGCTGGCATGAACTGTGTAACAAGAGTTTGGCTTTGAAGAAAAACAGTTATGAAAGAGGATAAAAATGCTATTTGTTTTTTCTAGTTATAAAGTTCTAATTCTGTCAAAAAATTTTTTTGGCTTGAGTGGTGGATAAGTGCTTAAAACACACTTTCACCCCTGAAAATGTAAAATGTAACGTAAAGCTCCACAGCTTTCATTTCAAATGCCAAACCTAAATGTATATAAATTCATTGAATTGTATAGATTTTGGGCCTGGTTCATTTTCGTGTGTGATATTTTTTATTTATATGTAAGTTGTTATATAAAATTTACTAAAAAAAGATAAAACAAGGAAGTTGTAACTTGTTGGCAGAATGATAGCTTAGTATGTACAAAGACCCCAGTTTCATCTTCAGCCTGGCATAAAAACACAATTACGGAGCGATAAATCCAGATCTTAAAACACAGAAGCTGAAAGTTCAACAACATTAAGAGAGTCAGGTATGTGTTGATACGACCCCATCCTTTTCTTATGTCTTTAGTGGAAGAGTGTGGTATGTACGTGAAAGATGCTTCTAATCCATCATCAGATGATGGAGAATGGTAATCAAATACAACCCGAAATCGCTATGGGAAACACAAGGCAAGGTAGATAGACAGCAGCATACGTCAGCGAGGATGCGAAAATATTGGCGTCCATATACATTACTGATGGGAAGGTGTGGTTGTTCAATAGCTTTTGAAAAACGAAAGTTCTTTAAATAATGTGTCACGTAGCTACATGAACTAGCAGTCACACTCCTAGGTACAGAAGTGAACGCTTGTAATAGTTGTAGCAGTTGACAAATGGAAAAGCTTAGATATCATCCAGATGATAAAGGGATAAACAAAATTTCCAACCACGGAATGAAATACAGGCTGTGATATCAAGCCTTGCACCACTGCAACAAATGCCTGGGATAAATAACTTATCGAAAGGTTTTGGAGATTTCAGTCCATCGTCAGTTGCCTCATTGTTGTTGGTCCTGAGGAGAGACCACACATCAGGGTTAGAAGCACGCAATGGAGGAAAACCACTCCTGGCTTGAGGAGCAAACCGGAGGAGGAGGAAAGGGCTGAGGATTGGACATGTCCCATAGAGGACGCACTCCCAAGCCAGGAATGCATTCCAGGAGTCTTCAGAGGTTTCAGAACCTCTTCAAGGTTCTGTCACCTCCCAATACCACAATCCTAGGGAACGAGCCATTGACACAGTCACATGGGGGGATATTCCAGACTAGAGCACTGTCACATGCCGAAATACGTGGGCGAATATTCAAAACCTTATTCTAGGTGAAGGGAGTGAGTGAGAAAAGGCCATACATTGTATGGTTCTATTCATATGAAACCCACAGTAAGGGGCTTCCTAGGGGCAGGAAGTAGGCTCCTAGGGGCAGGAAGTAGGCGGGCCGCTCCAAGGGACTAACTGAGTGTAAGACCAAGGCGGCGTAGTGAGAGTCAGTGTGTACGGATTTCTTTCTGACGTGATGGCTACAAGCTACTGCGAATGTACCAAACCGATTGAACTGTACATTTCAAAACGAGTAAACTTTCTAACCTGTTACTTACATCCCCCCCAAAGCTGTAAAAACTATAGACATACTGTGTCAGATATCAAAGGAATATATAGAGACAAGTATATTAGAAGCAAAGTCAAAACTCCAACTCAAGCAGCTTCCTAAATCCATTTAAAACCCCCCTTCACTGCTCCCCAGTAAAGGCCACGTTTGTCTGCCCTTCATGAGCTCCTTCCCCAGTAACTGAAGCAACACCCACAGAGCCCCTGAATAGCCTCTTTCTCAAGGCAGCCCCTGCCCAAGCTTCTTTAAGAACCTGTGCAGGGGTAGCTCCTCGTCGTGCGGGAAATCCAGACTTCGACCACAGAGATCCCTAGATGTCCTCATTTCCCGGCCTCAGTAGTCTGCAACTGTTCTGTCATAAGACAGGAAGTGTGGCAATGGAAGTTCTCTTTTCTCAAAAAGGATCAAGATTTCCTTTCTGCCGTCTGGACCCTGGGGCTCGCCTCGGGTTAGAATCCAGCTGCTTCTTCTCTCCACCATAGGCTCAGCCCCCTTCCCTCTCTGTGACATCCATGAATTAAGACCATCAGAGGCCTTGCAGCTCCACAGGGTACAAACACAATCCCAGCACCCACCTGACCACTTTGGATGGCCTTCTTCAAGCAGGTTTTAGTAGCATTATCTCATTAAAATTATGAATCTATCAGCGCACTAGCAACATTGAAATCTAGAGATTAGACAAATGGCAGTGTTGTAATCATAGAATTTACAATTTATTTTGACTAGTGGCACACATACATATCACTATTAGAGGCAAATACTGGGTTAATTGTTGGGTGACTTCGTCTTCTTTAGCGTGCTGAGGCTTCTTGCTACTCAAGCAGGGCATCCCTTTTCCCTGATGACTTTAGGTACCCGGGCAGCTGCTATCTGTCTTCTTGTGAACACAGAGAACAGTTAAGAAGCCTGAGCACCCCCTTTTTAAAAACTTCATTCTTTCCTTTATTTCATTGTGATCAAACGAATTCCCGGCTCCATCTCCCATGGCTTCCACGTGTCCCCATTTTGCCTTTTATTCTCCAATGAAGAGCAGTTATATATACCGCATTAGAATTTTATCCCAAACCAAGAAAAATTTCAGCTGGAGTGCTTGTTTATTCAGTCACCCTCCTCTCCCTGCCTCTCCTGCCCACCTCCTTTTCTTTCCTTCTTCTCCCCCTTTCTCTTCCTTCCCCTCCTCTTTCTGTCCTATACAAAACTTCCTTCAGCTCCAAGCTGAGCTGTAGCGGTCCCCCTAAGCCCCTTGGTCTCAGTTCAGACGGAGGAAGGGGAGGTCGTGAAGCTGAGCGTATCTTCTGTCCACACTGGCTTCTAACAGTGTGCGTCTCCGTTCAGTTTGCAGCTTCTTCTCAATAGTGTGGGCATGTGCTTTAAGAGTGAAATAGATTCTGTCTGCAGGGAAAGCCCCAACGATGAGTCAAAATGCTCAAGCCTACAGGAGCAGATTTCATTTCCATGTCTCCAGAAAACTGGCCCTGTCTTCCTGGGATGACTAGAATCCAGTCCCCTCTCGCAGGAAATGCGGTCTCGGGGAATGCCTGGAGTAGGACAGGAGTTCTCCGGCTGCATGACGATGCTTGTGAAGGGAAATAGCATGTTGACTCCGAGGACGTACTGGGGAGCTCCACCAGCAACCTATGGGAGACGGCCACAGTCTTTGGTGTTCTCTGTTTTGTGAACTAGTTTTAGTGGCAACTAATCTCTTTGGCTGTCTCTGCAGACATATATTCACTCTTGCTGTGGAGACCCATGATCATTTGGGAATCTTCTCACAGATCCAGCGGTAGCTGATGTCACAAGATGCAGCGTCAAATGTCTTTGTCAGGCCTATCGTGACGCAGTGGAAGTTCTGGTTCTCGTTCGTAACACTGCATGACGAAAAGAATTCACAGTGAAGCCTCCTGGTTTCAGTTTTGTCTTTGGCTGTTAGTGAGGTGAGGGCCACACATGAGAGCTAAGCCTGGAGGAGATGCAGACTCAGGCAACTCCATACTCTCCTCCCCTGGTCAGGCTCTTTCTTCCCCACTTAGACCCTTTCCTCTCAATACATCTTCTCCAGTTCAACCCTGGACCCACGTCTTCCTCTCAACTCTCCTGTGAACACTCACGGGTTCCAAGAATCTAGGTCTAACTCCTGCATGTATTTTGAGGGCATTGTCACACCCCCTGGAATCATATTCACGTACTGATTGTATGTTTCTACAGGAAGGCCCAAGGAAGGAGGAAAGGGACTTTTCATCCTCTATTGAGCATGAGCTGGCTCCAGGAAAAACTTGGTGGAGGCAAGCTGCTGGCCTTCTCCCGTTTCCTTTCTGTAATTCAGATCCTTCTGGACTGACCGTAGAGTCTCGTTTCATGAAAAAGTTGCATGGCATCTGGGCTCAAGGGATTGTGGAATCAGACTGCAGCTCTACCCTGTTGCTATGAGAAACTCAACGCATCTCTAACCTTTCTCACACCTGATTCAACTGCCTGGGAGTAATGAAAGTTTTCTCTATGGCATCCTGGTGAATACAGAGAGATAACCCATGCAGGTACTTAGCACAGCATAGTCCCTGGTGTTTAGGAGACAGCAAGTAAAATTTAATTTTTTTCCCTCTTATAAGGAAATCCAGTTGCAGGCAGGAGACCTGGGTTGCTCCTTGTCTGACACAGAATTTCCATACGAAAACTGGAAATATGACCGCCTCCTCCAAAGACTGACTGCATGGACTGATGCCCTGGAGATGGTTCTTGAGAGTTAGTTACAGATCAACTTTAAGGTACAGAGAAGTTGTAAGTATATAATAAACTTTTTAAAATAAATGATCTATATCTGGAGAAATGATATGATATGTAGTTTAATGACCTAAGAAATATCATATGAGGCACACCAGCATCTATGTGTGTGTGGGTCGGTTTGAAGTAGATAATTTATTATATGATTAATACCCTCTCTTCTAGTTTTATGTTATGTAAAATGTTTGATATTTCCTATAATAAAAAAGGTTAAGTAGACAAGAAATGGTTTGGAAGCACTAGAAAAGCAGAGCAGAGTCCAGTCTAAGCCGAAGCTGTCTCAGTGTGACTTTCAGTTTTGGTCTTCTTATGCAAAAATCCCTGGAGAAATGCAGGGTGTCCACATACTTGCCACTGAACACAGAGTTGTTGATCCAGCGCCACCTTGCTTCTCCAGACTGACGTCTCAAACCAACAAAGTACTTCTCAGCACCAGCTATGTCCTGAAGATACTTCTAGAAGTTAAGAAAGAAGCAGCTCATCAGTGGGTTCCTCAGTGCTGGGCTGGTGGTCAATGGTTGGCCTGGTTTTGGGAACCAGGAAGCTTCTGGGGATCTGACCCTGGGTGTCACTGGCAGTTGCCATTAATCCTAGAAGAGTTCTGAAACTTGGTAGGAAGTAAGATCACCTGGACATTGGGACCAAACACAGACTACTTGGCCTCTGGTTCAGAAATCTAATGTAGATGATGAAGAATTTACATTACTGATAAATGCCCTGGTGATGTCAGTATTGCCCTTCTGGGTCAACCCAGAAGGACGGGGTGGTGGGGGGAGGAAGACACTGAAGTCAAAAGAATGGGGGAGGGGAGCAGCTAACCAAGCTATGCAATGGTGAATAACAAGCAACCTTGTCTCAAACAAGGTGGAGGGTGAGGTTGTTCTCTGACTTTTACATGCCCACGGCGGTACATGGTCCCACACACACACTCACACTCACACACACACACACCACACACACACTCACACACACACCACACACACACTTCGCATTTTCCCATAGATGCCACCAACTGCAGCCGTCCTAGGGCAGGCTATTCTATTACACCATCCCAATGCTTTTTACCAGTTTCTCTGGTGTGTTGACAATTGCCAGCGTGGATCCTCTTGCCACACAGTCATCCCTGCTGGTTTTCCAGGGCAATTCAGAGGTGGAGAAGAAGAAACATCTCCCTTGATGAAAATCCCAGTCCTTGGGACAGGCTGACAGGAGGCGGGGAGGAAGGGGGGGGGCGACAAATTGATACATGCCGTTAGTGGTCTGGAGTGGGAACCCTGAACTGATTCATAAAACGATGGGGCGTACATTTCCTTGTGACTACTGATATAAATCCTTTCCAGTTCAGGAAGAAATTCCACCACTCTAGTCTGTTTTGCCCGTGCCTAACATAAGGGGAATGAACATGAGTTCTTCCTGATCCCAAGAGAAAGGGGAAAGTCCTTAAGAATCCAGATCGTGTAGCCCAGGCTGGCCCTTGAACTCCCCATCCTCCCGCCTCCATTTCCATCAGCAAAATCCTATCAGCGTGAGCCACCACTGAGTTCCAGGACAGCCAGGGCTACACGGAGAAATTGTGTCTCAAACAACAACAACAAAACAAAAAGAACCCAGCTTGTGAGTATCAAGGGCGTGGGAAAAAGCAGGGGCCACACACCGTACCTGTTCCGTAGCTCCTTGTAGGCACGACGCTTTCATCATTCCCCCCGAAGATCTGTGAGACTGAAATGAAAAGCCTGGTGGTTACCGCAGGATGAACGCAAAGTCACTAGGGTGCAGGCTGTCGAGCTCTGCCTCTTTGTTTCTAAGAATCCCTGATGTTCTAGATGGTTCAGAAGGGGAAAGGAAACCTGTCTTCCCCAATGAAGGTCCCAGTTTGGGGCAGGCTGAAGAGGTTTGGGAAAGGATGGTGTGGGAAGAAAGGAAGGAGGGAGGCAGGGCCTGAAAGCGATGCTTTGGCTTCTCTGAACTTGAATTGTCAGAAATGGTCTTCCAGGATCCATTGTGCTTGGCATTCAAGTCCTATCTTGTATCCCCGCGTCTCCCGCTGTGGTGGTAGGTGTGAAATGCTTAGGAGACAGAGAACAAAGAACAAGAGGAGGGAACCCAGGAGGCTAGTATCCAGGGGGAGGGTCATACTACTTTCTTATGTGCAGGTTTCGCATGGCTACCCCAGAGCGCTGTTTGAGACACTCTTACGCCGGGCTCCACACAGCATTTTTGTGGTTGCCTTTATTTCTGGTGTCCAAACCCTCTATAAGAAGCAGCTTTGAGACGCTTTTCTCATTAGGATTTCCTCAGCTCTAAGGATTGTGACTGAGTACAGCAAGATCCAGGATTCAGGAAGTTACAGGAGATAAGGAAGTAGGTAACCTTCCAGAGATTTCTCTAAGCATAGAACTTTACTTTCTAAAATACGAGATATGGGGATTGATGGGCCCCCAGCAGGATCATTTTTTCTCCTGGGAGCACTGCTTGAGCAGACGGCCACAATGCCTCCATAGGCTACCGAAACTGCCCTTCGGGGACCGTGGTTATTTTTGTTGGTTATGGCTAAAACTACTTTCATTTACCTAGATGTGAAGTTGGCACTTAGAATAATATTGGTGAAATAGACATAAGCATTCACCTTTTTAATACACTCCCCAGCTCAGAGACTTTGTAATATAATAGTTGACTGTTTTATTTCAATTAGAAATGACTTTTTTGGGTCGTAAAGATGTCACGAGTAACCCATGTCTTAAAAGGCAGTGACAGAGTTCTTACAGAAAGCTGCGAGAAGAGAGGGCTTGGAGCTAGAGAGGAGGCACAGCTCCCAGCACCTACAAGCTGGCACACACCACTTGCAACTCCAGTTCCAGTTCCTGGCCCCCATTGGTGCTGCACGCTCATGGCGTACCTATACACACGAAGGCAAAAGCATGCATGCACATAAAAACTAACCAATCTTTAAAAAAAGAGAGAGACAGGGTTAGAAGTACCATGCCCTCTGTGTATGAAACATCTGGAATTGAGCGTTTGTTTTTATGCATGAGGCTTGATTACTTACAATTTTATTCTTCTCCTATGGTTGTTCTAGCATAATGTTTGGCACACAAAAAGATGCCAGTTTCTTTTTTTTTTGTGGAACATGAATTCTTGTGTGTGTGTTGTGTGTACGTGTTTGGGTGGGTGTATGCATGTGTGTGTGAGAGTGTGTATGCACTTGTGAGTGCATTTCTGAGGAGGCCAGAGTTGACACTGGGTGCCTTCTTTAAATGTTGTCCACCTCATTTATTAAGACAGGGTCTCTTTCTGAACCTGGAGTTTATTAGTTCAGCAAGGCTGGCGGACCAATTAGCACCAGGGATCCACCCACCTCTGCCTCTGTCCACCTGATCTGTGGTTACAGACATAACTGCAACACTTGGCTCCCACACATGTGCTGGAGATGCAAGCTCAGGCTCTCATACTTGAGGAATAGGTACTTTCCCAAGTGAACCATCTCCTAATGCTAAAGTTTGGTTCCTTTGCTTCCTTTTGGTTTTTCAAGACAAGGTTTCTCAGTGTAGCTCTCTCTCTCTGTAGACCGGGCTGGTCGAGAACTAAGAGATCCACCTGCCTCTGCCTACCAAAGGCTGGGACTGAAGGCTTGTGCCACCATATCTCTCTAGAGTTTGGTTTATTTATAACCGTTCTTGTAAGAATCTTTGAAACACATTCCCAGCACGTTACAGTAGTCCCACACAAATGAGGACCATATAATCATGGAGAGGCTGGCGGTGTGGTTCAGTGCCTTTACCGAGCCAGGTCCTGGGTTTGATCCCCAGTACCAGAAAATCAGTATAAATGAGTTTTCTGTTCCTTTTCACACTTGCAAGGAGAAAAAGACCTTTGTGGAGGAGCATTCGCTGACAAGTTTCTTAGGGGACTGTTAGAATTCAACTTGGGAGTTAGGGAGATTACCATTCTGCACATGAGTGGTTCCGTAGCTCTCCGTGGGGATGAAGCCATCATTACTTTCGTAAAAAACCTGTGGGACTGCAAAGAAGATCAGCTGGTGGCTCAGCCTCTGTGTGGTTGCAAATAGAGGTGGAGAATGAGCCACAGGGATGCCAGAGAGCTTTAACCAAAGGAGGAAGCACTGAGCTCTCTGCTCGCGGAGGACTGTATGTATTTTCATTTGTCTTCATGTAAGTACTTGGTCATCCTCTCTGCTCTCATGGTAGGCATTATGGGTCAGCATTGGGTCACGAGGAAAACATCTCTTACCCAACTGCAGCAATTTACTCACATTTCCTCCCCCTTCATTTTTCTTATGGCTTCAGAGCTAAACTGTTGGTTATGAAGCTTCTTTTACTAATGAATTTATTGAGAAGCATTTGTGTATGCACACACACACACACACACACACACACACACACCCCTCAGTTAAATCTTGATCTTTTTTTTTCTTTTTTTGTTTTTTGTTTTTACAAGACAGGGTTTCTCTGTATTGTTTTGGAGGCTATCGGTCCAGCCTGGCCTCGAACTCACAGAGATCCGCCTGCCTCTGCCTCCCGAGTGCTGGGATTAAAGGCGTGCGCCACCACCGCCCGGCTAAATCTTGATCTTATAGTTAGCTCTTCATACAGCCTCATTGGGTTGAACTGGAACAGTATTTGTTTATTTTTTAATTGTAGCAGCAATAAGAGGGCATGCTAAATATTCTAGCTCAGGTTATCCAAAAGCTACACGTAAGGGCTCCGCCCTTTAGACACGGTCAGCTATTTACCTCCACTGAGGACTGCTAACCCTGGCCCCACCCACCCCCGTGTCTGACTGAATATGAAAGGACAGTGTGGAAGAACTTGGGCACTGGGCCTTTACACTCAGCCTGGCATTCTGAGTAGAGTAGAGCATTAAGAACACTTAAGGCACAAATACTCACAATACAGCAGAAACAAGGTCATTCCAACAGCTTTGATCACTACGATAACGAACCCCGAGATGATCATGTTCCAGTTCATGGTGGTGGGGGTTCAGAGACCTGTGAGGACCAGAGCAACATCATCAGTTTCTGGGGATGGGGCTGCTTTCTCCCCAGCACCCGAGGAAGGCTGGAAGACAGGCATTCTAGTGGCCAGTGAAAAGACATGTCCAGGACACTGATAGGAAGCTTGACATGCCATCTCTCCTTTACGAATGCTTCAGCATTAATTAGGTCTGAGTCCCATAGCCACTTGTGGCTTCACAAATCCTGTCTGAGGTGCAAATCTCCTTTGTGATTCAGCGATGCTTACTCTTAAAACAACCCTTGCTTACAAGCTTGTAGTCTTGTCGATGCTAATCTCACTTATAGAAGCCTTAGTCTCCTCTGTGTCAGCGGTATGTTGTAGATGAACGGAGGACGGGGAGGCAGACAGACAGACAGACAGACAGACAGACAGACTTACCTGATCTCTCTCTACAGACAGGGGTCTTTTTGATAGGCTAATGCTTGCGTGGTGGGCAGTATTCCTTGTCTCCTGCCCATATGCTCCTGCTCAGTCTGTGGGTACCGTCCTTGTTCATAACCTCACTGCCCCAGGAGCGCCTTCAAGTGTATGCTTCTTCCTGTTCGGCGCTCTTGGCAAAGGAGCAGGCAGGCCGAGGAGGGGAACCTCTAGCTCTGTGGGAAGAAGGTTCCGGTCAGGAACTATTTCTAGAAGGATGTGAAAAACCACATGGCTCAGCACAGACTCCCCCTTCATCTGTTAACTCTCTATTGCTCTTAGGACGAGGCTTGGCTCCTTGATGCAATATGTGAATCTCGTGTGTTCCTGCTGTCATGGATGCTAGTTGCTCATTCATGTGCTAGGTACTCTCTTAGCACCTGGGATGTGTGGGGTGGTTCTGTGTCTCTCGCTGGCAGCAAATCTGCCCCAGTCTTGTCTGCCAGAGATCCTACGGAACTGAAAAGTTTTAGTGCATCTCCTCTTTGTCTCCTTATCTCATCACATAAGCCACACAGCGCTAACAGCATCACCTGTTCTGTCTCAGGTACCCAGTAGACTTTTCTGTGTTCTCATTGGCTAGATAATTCCAATGCATTATTTAGACGTCCCTCCCATTAGGAATACTAACTTCCTCAAGGCCTCCACTCGCTTGTCTCATTTGTGTTTAGGTAACCCTTACCTAGTGTCATGACACTGGGTACCCGTTTCTTGGGAGCAATTCTTGCATGATTATCTACTTGTGCACTGCAGTTTCTACACTCTGAAGCTGTGAAGGCTGAAGCTGTCTATTCTGCACCGCACTTTCCACACTCTGAAGCTGTGATGGCTGAAGCTGTCTGTTCTGCACCGCACTTTCCACATTCTGAAGCTGTGATGACTGAAGCTGTCTGTTCTGCACCGCACTTTCCACACTCTGAAGCTGTGATGACTGAAGCTGTCTGTTCTTTCAGTACTGTAGCCCTAGAACAAACACAGCATTTTGGAGCTGTGTACTTGACAAAGGGCATCTGGCTTCCAGGTGTAGTTCGAACCTATATTTGTGGACCTATCATCAGACCTACAAAATAAATATTTCTGATCAATTATTTTTTTGTGTGTGTGGGGCATTACTTATAGAAGTTGATAAGTTGGTTGTCATTGTTTTAGAAGAGAATGCAGATGTTAGGCCATTTCCAAAGACACAGGTTCCCGACCGAGACCCTAACTCCCACAGGCGGCGTGGACTGCAGACTAACGACAGTACCTCGAGAGATAGCTAGCCATCCCCTTGTAAACAAACTTAACTTACTAATGGCATGTTGTTTTAGCATAAATTGTCACATAGTTTATATATCAACTCAGAGCTCATAGAAAAACCCAGTTTTTAGTAAGCAGAAGTGCTCCCTAACGGAACTGTGATATACTCAAACCGGTGTGCTAGGGAGTGGATGGGAAAGGAAACTGTGGGGTCTGGACAGGGGTGATTCAAAGCCTGTGTAAGGCTCCCAGGTTCTGAAGCCTACCAGGGACAGAGGCATCATGGAAACAGTTGGGTCCACTTACTCTAGTGACTCATTAAATAACTGGAAATCCTATTGCAGAGGGGAGTCGTGCCAGTTGGATGCTGAAGACATCATGTCATTAATACCAAGATGTGTCATTTCCAGACTGATGTCACATGATACTGAGAAGACACATTTTCTGCACACATGTCTTTAACCAAAACCAGAAATAGTCACTAACCCTCCCCCCGCATCTTTCTTCCTTGAGTCTTGTAAGATCTGACCCTTCTGGTGTCTGTCAGTAGCCACCAGAGATGTGAATATGGGTAAAGCTTTCTCATATCTCGCTTAAAAGTTTAACAAAAAGGAGGCTGGGTGTGGTGGTTACACCTTTAATTCCAGCACTTGGGAGGCACAGGCTAGCCTTGTCTACGGAGTGAGTTTCAAGACAGCCAGGGCTACACAGAGAAACCCTGTCTCAGAATCTGCCCCCGCCAAGCAAAACAAAACAAAACAAAAACAAAAACAAACAAACAAAAACCCAACAACAATAAAAAGAAAAGAAAACCAATGAAGATGTGAACATAACTCAACATAAATTAAGCATTAAAAAAAGAAACATCCAATTCCCATCTAAGAGTCAAAAGCTTACAAGCAGGAAATATTAGAGCACATTTATGCTTATAAGATGTTGCAGGAGACTGACTCTGTAAAAGGAAAAGGTCATTAAATAGACAAGACTTGGAGATTTAATTGGTGATTTGCAAAAACAAAACAAAGTAGTAGGACAAAGAACTCTGAGTAGTATATTAGATACCATAGAAAAGTGAGAAAATCAGAAGTCATTACTGATAACAATTCATAAGACAAAGTAAAAGGAAAAAAGTTACTTTGCAAAAAATATAGAAATGTTAATGTTGGATCCAGTGAAAAACACAACATACTATTATGAAGTAAATTAAAGAATAACTTCTTTATATAAAAGATAATGATGAAAGCCAAATTAAGTAAAAATAAAATAGAACTAGAATTTCCATTGCAAGTAAATTAATCACACTATTGTGAAAAACTTTTTCTTTCTTTTTTCTTTTTTGCTGATAGCATGATTTCCAAAGGATGTCTATGGAACATAGGAAAAAAACCACATCATTTAAATAAAGTTAAAACATGAAAATCTATTCTAGTTTGATACGCAGTTGCTTAAGATAATTAATATGGCTGAGACCTTAGTAGACAAAAATTAGCTATAAAGATATAAGCAATGTAAATAATAATTGTAGGTAGTTAGCAATGCTGATTTGTAAAACTTTTGTACTATGAATTGGCCTATAATGTATAAAATATCCAGGCATTAGTTACTGTCATGGGCTACAAAAAGCCTTGATAGTTTACTGCGGAAAGTTCAAATTGGCAAGCATGATTAGATAGAAGCTCTGTGAGGAACATCTTAAAGTCATGCTTAACAGTGAACCAAAACCGCTGTGGCCACCTTTCCCAATGACAAAGAATTGAAATCTATTCATTGCACCATTTATCAGGAAATACATTATGCTAACATGCTCATGAATGTGGTAACCAAGGGTGGATGCTACACAGGCCTGAATGTCTGGAATCATAAAATGTCAAGGGCTTTGAAATAATGAATTGGATTTATGGTACAAGAATTTATATTAACATTAGAATGAACAAGAAGTGTGTGTGTGTAGTGTGTGTGTGTGTGTGTGTGTGTGTGTGTGTGTGTATGCGATTTAAAGCATACCATATTCATTAGCTCTAAGAGTCACTCAGGACATCTTCTTTACAATGGTAAGAAGGTGTAAATGGATGTTTCTGTCCTGCTCAATCCTGCAGCTGTTTAGTCCCAAATAAATACACAAAGGCTTATATTAATTATAAACTGTTTGGTCAATGGCTTCGACTTCTCCTCCTCCTCCTCCTCCTCCTCCTCCTCCTCCTCCTCCTCCTTCTTTTGTTTGTTTTGTTTTTTTTTGAGACAGGGTTTCTCGGTATTGTTTTAGATCCTGTCCAGGAACTCTGTAGACCAGGCTGGCTTTGAACTCACAGAGCTCTGCCTGCCTCTGCCTTCTGAGTGCTGGGATTAAAGGTGTGCACTACCAATACCCAGCTGTCTCAGGCTTCTTATTGGTTAACTCTCTCTCTTGCTCTCTCTCTGTCTCTCTCTTTGTCTCTCTCTCTCTTTGGTTTTTCAAGACAGGGTTTCTCTGTATTGTTTTGGAGCCTGTCCTGGAGCTCACTCTGTAGACCAGGCTGGCCTCAAACTCACTGAGATCTGCCTGCCTCTGCCTCCCGAGTGCTGGGATTAAAGGTGTGTGCTACCAATGCCCTGCATTGGTTAACTCTCTCTTAATTATTAACCCATAACTATTAATCTATATATCTCTACATGGTCTTGTATTACTGGAAAATGCCCAGGCGTCCTATCTTCCCAGTAGCTACATGGTGTCTTCTTGACACTGCCTACTCCCTTCTTCTGTCCCTGTTTAGATTTCCTGCCTGGCTAACTTCTGCCTGTCTGTTGGCCGAAACAGCTTTATTCATCAACCAATAAGAGAAACATATATTCACAGTATACAGAAAGGCATTCCCCATCAGGAAGGCATTGCACAAGTTGTGATTAGCATAAGGAATATATCCCCCAGTGGTTTATGTATGGATGCTGATGTAAACAATATTCAGAAAATGGGCTTCTGAGAGGAGCATAAGGACTCTGCCTTCATCAATGACTTACTCCATCAAAGGATTTAAATTTTGAATAGACAATTGGTAGGCTGTGGGCAGGTCATTGGGAGGTGGGGTAAGGGTCCTCAAAGGTGATTTTATGGCCCTCACTAAGCCCTGCTCTATCACACCCCTTTACCTGGATGCTTTCTCTTACCATGGCCCCCAAACAATGGAACCATCCAACCACGGACTGCATCCCCTGAGACCAGGAACCAAGACAAATCTTTCCTCCTTTAAGTTGTTTATACCATGCATTTTATCACAGAAATATAGTCACCTACAGCCACCTCTCCCAACTTCATATTCTAAAAATCATGGGTGCTTAAGGTCCTTAAGTAAAAGACTTTTTTTTGCTAATAATAACCTATGCAATATCCTTTCATATACTTTAATAATTTTTAGATTTCAACAAATGTAATTTTGAAAGTATGCAAAACTCATTTATACAGATGGATAATGGATTATATTTTAGTTTTTATCCCTTAGTGGTATGTAATATAGTGAGGAATCATTCCATTAATGTCATCTTATATCCTTTGAAATAAAATACTAAAAAATACCATAGGAGCTGGAGAGATGGCTCAGTGGTTGAAAGCACTGGCTGTTCTTCCAGAAGACACAGGTTCAATTCCCAGTACCCACATGGAAGCTCACAGCTGTCTGTAATTCTAGTCCTAAGGGATCTGACACCCTCACATAGACACACATGCAGGTGAGTCAGCAACACACACATAAATAAATAAATAAGAGCACCATAAATGGATCATGTTACATCTATATAAATACTACTGACCAAACTTGGCACAAGAAAGAGAAGAAGACCTGAAATACTCTTAAAACTTTGTCCTAAGGTTTTTGGAAAAAATTGTTAGGCACAGGTTGTCAGAAGCTGATTTTTAAGTAGCAGTTTGTATGTGAAGCTTAAGTTTAAGATCTTATATGAATATTTTGTCTTAC